GGGGGGGTAGAAGAAGGGGAGGTGCTGAAAGTAAAAGAAAATAAGAGACAAAAGGGAGGACAGAGCGTTTGAGTTTGTAGTGTCTGAGCTATATATAAGTATGACCATCCAAGAACATCCGTTGCTTCACGCAGGCCCAAACTTGAGTTGTGGCCATTCGACTTTACTATTTTAACCCTAACGATTTTTATCGCTATTCATAACTATTCGACGAGTGGTTGAAAGATTTGATTGCCGTAGGAATTTTTCAGAAAATGAATTTTTGTCTCATTTTGTTCAACCTGTGAGTTCCCTTCCCCTTACTCCAAATTTGAAGCCATATGACGTCATTGTATCACTCTGCGCCTAGTGAATAGCGATGTCAATAACGAATATTGAAAAGAGAATGTTTTTGTGATGAACTTTATATCTAAAGTAAAAACCGTAGGTGGTTGGCGGGTGCTCTGGTGTGGTTTGCTCCTTCTTTCCTATCAAACATCTATCGTCCTGATCTCTCCTTCTTTTTTGTGTTTGTTGCTTTCTTGTAACACCTGTAATCTTCCGCACTTATATGACCTTATTGTGTTGCAAGTGCAGTAACATTCTTACTAAAACTAAACTAAAACTAAAGTAAAAACCATTCACCCACGGTATTCGAATAGCGAGAGTAATGTCTTCACTCTTCGAAGCGTCGATGAAGTTTCGTATCCTCAAAATCGCACAACACTCGCCCAAACACATCCCCAGTATCCCCACTCTCCTCGACATTTCGCAACACTTCTTGTTTGTTTTGCTTCTCGTTTAGCAAACAGAAAGCAGCCAAAGAGGGAGAGAAAGAGGCGGTAATGAGGTCTCCACACAGGAATCAACTAATAATCCTAATCTTCTCACAGTTTTTCTGTCTCGCCTCACCCCGGGCAAATTCGTGAAGAAATTGGAGAAGGTTTAGGAGGGGTTTAGGGGAGTGAGCGCCGGAGTGGCGAGATGGGGTTTTGCGTTTCTTTCCGCACTAAATAGGTTATGTAGTTAGGTTATGTAATGGCTACATGCACGAATGAAATGGAAGTGTTACAGCACTTGACTCCCCCCCCCCTCCCCCCTCTCTCTCAATTTCTCTCTATGTCTTTCTCACTCTATCTCTCTGTCTGTCTCGTCTCTTCGTCTCTGTCTTTCTCTGTCTTCGTCATTCTCCATCTCCCCCACCCGTCTCTCTGTATATCCCTGTCTCTTCCTTT